TTTGCATGATGTAATTATGTTTATATTTATATGCACGTACATGTATGATCTGTTTTTAAACGTAAAAGATACGTTGTGTTTAATAATAATACCAACTTATTTCAATTTTAATCGCGAAAATATAAAATACATTTACGATATAACGTGATATTTAGATTCTTTGCCTGTTTCCTTGCTAACAGACATTCATGCAGTTGATATATACGCGCGTTTATATATTTTTATGCTCCTGTGCACAAGTAATTTTTATTTAGGGCATCTCAACGATGAATGTAAGCTTGCAATGTAAATTGCTTTAAATTATAATATAAATAAAATATTAAAATAAAAACAGATTCCTTTTAAAAAAGTTTTTTAGAGGTTTGAATTGCAATATACATACCTTCTATTTAATAATTTAATGCTTTATGTAAATGTTCCACTGAAAAAAGATTATTTAATTAATTTTCAGATTAAATAACCGTATTTTTTTAAATAAATCTTCTAAGTGCGCATAACTTGCATTTTATGTCAATACTTTGATTATCAAGTAGCATGAACAGATTTTGTAATAAAAATAAAATATTTTATAATAAATTTATATAAAAAATTAGCCGTGCATTATGTATGTACGTGATCATCAAATGTGTGGAGGTTTAACACGCAGGAAATGACGAGGAAAAAAAAAACTCATTTCTATTGGTAATGAAATTCCGAACAGGGTCGTAAGGTCGATCAGAATATACTCAACATCATCTTTATTATGTAGTTTCTTTCCAATCTTCTAGAAGCGCGTTTCAGTGCGACATCATTTCAAGAAGTAAGTAGATTTAACTTTTAAAAAACAGAAGTTTCTTCAATTATTCTTTTTATAATTCTATTATCCAAAGCAATTATTTAAATGTATAACACATTGATAAGTTATAAGTTTAAAAATCATAATTTTTTAATTATTTCTAATAATTGTTTCTAAAATATTTATTAATCTTAATTTATTTTTTCTATTATAACAACTTTAAAAAACTTATTATAGTTATTAACTATATTTATTGTACTATCAAATGGCAATTAATTTAATATAAAAGTATTCATATAATTTTTTTTACATTTGTTAAGTTTCTTATCTGAATAGGACTATTAATCTCTTAATATCAATATGAAAAAAATCAAAGAAGAGACTAACATCAACAACAGTAATAATAGTAATGAAATGGGGAAAAGTAAACGATTTATGAAGTGGACTGCTGTTCTTCTTTATATCTATCTTCACGTTTTCGGCATCGTTGGATTATATTTTTTGTTTATCAAAGCGAAATGGATGACAGTATTTTACTGTGAGTATTGAAAATTATTACATAGAATTGCAAACAAAAATTAATTATAGAAATAAAATTAATTAATTTTCTACTGAGATTTTTATTTTGAGCTAGTGATAAAAATATTTATAACATTGTAATTGTTTTAAAATATCTAGTAAAATTCCAATTTTAAATATGTATTTTTTACAAAGGTTTTAAACAGTATATTTTTTGCAATATATTTATTTTCTTTTCCTTTGGTCATCATTTAATTAATAATCTAATATTTTACTGATTTCCAGTTGTGTTCCTTATCACAATAAGTTCCATAGCATTAACGGCCGGTGCACACAGATTATATGCACATCAAACATTTGTCGCAACGTGGCAACTCAGGCTTTTTATAATGTTAACACATACCCTCGCAGGCGTGGTAAAGTTAAAGATTTACACATTGATTAAATATTTATGTGTTTAAATATTTAATAAATGATTTAAATATTTTTTAACTAATTAAAAATTCTTAAAATATTTTTAACTTAATTAAAACTTAATTAAAAATAAAAGAAATTTTTATAATGACCAGAATAAGTTATTATCAATATTTTCTTTTACATACGTTTTCTTGGTTATTAAAAAATGGTTATTAAATATTTTACGTACTATTTGTATTTATGTATTATGTATTATTAGTTAATATTTTCGTTATTCTTTCGAAAAATGCAATTTTATTTCAAAATTTTAAATAATTTTATTTAATAACAAATATATTTGTATTGAGAAAAGATTGCATATAATAATAATTATTATTATTACATTAATTTATCATGAAAATTAAAATGTCATGTTCATTATCGGAATATTATATAATAGCAAACACGTAAATTAACATGTTAATTATGATACGATGAATCATTGGATCAATGCGAATAATAAAATACACAGTTTATCACAAAGAATAATTATGTTTTTTGCATTGGACTGCATCAAAATTTGCTTTCTTGCTTTCAACAAATTACGAACATATATTATTATTGTATTTTGAAAACTACAACAAGTGTATACTAATGACTAATTCAGTTATAAAAAACAGATTTTATATAACAATTATATATAATAAAAAAATTTAATCTAACATTTATTATAAGAGATGTTTTAACATGTATATTTATATGTTAAATATAATTATATATGTAAATTTAATTATAATCGCATTTTTTAAATCTGTTTGCTTTCAGGGTTCCATTTACAATTGGGTTTTTTGGCATCGAGTGCATCACAAATACTACGGCACTGATAGAGATCCGTATAATCATAAGAAAGGGTTCTTTTACTCTCACATCATCAGTAATCTATTGTCAGTACCCACTGACATAAAGAAATACTCGAAAGACATTGATATGCGCGATATAGAATCTGATGGATATGTTTGGACACAACGAAAGTATATCGTTTAATGTGATTTAATATAATTTAATAAGTATCAATGAATATTAAAAATAACTTATTTTTTTTATACATTTTATTTTTTATATATAAAAAAATATATAAAACTGAGATTGTTTGTAATTTTCCATTATACCAATCAAATCAAATTGTATTAATATTCTATTTTACCAATATATTTGCTAATTTTGACATTTTTATTTATTTGGTGTTTTCTAGTTATACATATCATACATATTTATTGACTATTTCTTCATGCGCCATAATTCTTTTTTTTTATTTTATTTGAAAGATTTCTACTTGAGAGCATAAAATAAATTAATCTAATATCTAATTGCAATATACAAAATTAGTTATTAAAACAAATTAATTTGCACAGGTTTTACTGGATACTTTTCATTCTGTTTGGATTTCTACTGCCTATTAATATTGCTATAGAATACTGGAATGAATCAACCATAAATTCATTTTTAATTATTGGTGCTGCACGCCTGATGATAACAACCAATATTTCTTGGTTGGTCAATAGCGCCTTATTGATTTGGGGTCTGAAGAAAGGAGACAAGTTAATATCTATTTTTCATACTCTCTCTCTTTTGTACAAGCTGTTCTTCAAAATGCCAAAAGGTCATGGTACCGTCCGTATCGATAGGGATGGTATACACATCGTAAATAGCAATTAATAAAATCTGAAAATCTAAGAATATTTTATTGTAAGCTATAAGAGCTTGACGAAATGAAATATTATTTAAACTTAAATTGTTTTTAATTCTTTAAATTAAATAAAGAAATTTTAGGTGTTAAAATCGGTAGAAATATAATAATCGTTATGAAATATTTAGTTTGTTATATATTTCAATTATATACAATTATATATTTGGCTTAAATATTAATAAAACTCTATTATTATGTTATATCAGAAAATCTTCGTATTGAAATTTTAATATATCTATTTTTTTTATTTTCTCTATCGATATATCATATCTTCTTTGTAATAGCGTATTATAATAGCGTAATTCCTATTGTATAATCCATTGAGTTGCTTCTAACGTGTGATTAATATTTCAGATTCCCGGTTGACGACAATTCTGTCTTTTTCTTATCAAAATCGTATTGGCTGAATTATCATTATCTGCTTCCATGGGACTGGAAAAGTGATGAATTTGGCACTTACGAAACGGGATTTAATACGTTCATTGTCAAGATGTGGCGTGAACTCGATTTCATTAATGAGATGAAAACCGCCACTAGTGACGATGTGCGAGAAGCTCTTTATAAAATTGCCACGTCAAAGATGACGATGAAGGAAGCTTTGGAAGAGATAAAAGCAAATTCCGAAGAAGTTGCTTATAAAGAGAAACTAATATTTCGCCATTAGAGAAACAAGAGAATAAATTATTTTAATTAAAAATATGTAAACAATATTTTATAAATTTTATTTAAAATTATAAATTAAAATATATTAAATAAAAACCACTAAGAATAAATGCAATTGTAATGTCAAAGCGTAATTAATATATATTTATATAATATAAATAAAATAAATTATTAATTAATAAATAAAATAAAATAAAACCAAGTAAAAACTATCATTTGAACTATGAAGCTTTAACTTATTCTGATATCTAAAACGATATAATTATTCCGAAATTAAACATACATAAACCAATCCGAACTAAGATCAAAACGTTTGTTTTGATTTTTTTCACATAATTTGTTTAATTTATAAAATAAATATTATTAAACTATATTAATTACGCTTAAATAACTGCATTATCTTTTAATAATTTTTGTTTAATTTATTTGGATTTATTCTTCAGAACCTTCATTTAAGTTTTTATATGAAAAGAATAAACATTTTGAAATTTTTTAAAACGGTATATATAAAAACAAACATTTATTTATAGTTAATTACATGTAAAATAATGCAAATCTTAATTTGTATATATACAAAAAATTTTATAATTGTCATTTTTTTATGTAAATATGTGAAATAATATGTGAAATAAATTTATGAATTAATAAAGAAAAATATTTGCTAAATTAAAATATTACAATAGTACAAATAAACAATGATTGAATCTTATATTATGTAATTAACAGTTAAAGAGACACCTGTGATAACTTGATATTTAAATGAAAGCAAGGTACAAATACTGAATAAAGAAAAACAAGATATGCAATGTATCTTTACATAAAAATAGATATTTTATTAAATTTTATTTTAGTTAATAATGTGACATTTTATCTTATAATACAATACAATCATATGATTCTCTATATTTAAAGTAATAACAATATTAATAATTTTGTGCCTTCGGCACAAAATCATTCTTCACAATTCCCGAAAATCATTCCTCATGCTTGCATGAACAAACGGTTATTTAAATTATCTTATTTACCATTATTTAAATTATCAAAAATATAATATTCTTCAACTTAACTTTAACTATTCGCAATAATCAAATTGAAAAAAATGTGTTAAGTATTAAAATGATTGTTACATATCATTTGGGTAAGTCCTGTAAAAATTTAAATTAATATAATTAACATAATGTGATTAATTTAACGCATTCACAAATGTGAAAAGCATTTTCTCATATACAATCTT